CTGCTGAACAATTAGATTCTAACAAAAATATGCATGAGAACCAGCTAAAGCAGCCACCTCCGATACCCCAGCAGGTTACATCAGCAGGGAATTATGAGTTCTCATTGTTCTACTGCACTGGCAAGCGTGTTGCACAAGCAGCAGTCTCCTGACCCAGAGATTAACACCTGAGCCCAGTTTTCCAGACTGCACTTAAAAGCAAAGTGTATTACTCAAAGACCAGTACTTCAGCTCTAACTTTGAAAACGACACTACCAGACTCACACAGTGCAATGCATCCAATTATGTTGTATCTAACAAGAAACTCTAAAAACAAAGACAGGAACCAGCCATCTGGACAGTATGAAAATACAGAAGAGTTGAGAGATTAGCTTTGCCGTGTCTAATTTAATCGGATTTACTGCCAGTCGGTGTTTTAGTGCGTTGCTTACTCTGCTGCATTAATGTCTTCACTTTGATCCTTAAATTACTGTGTGGGATAGCTGAAGCTCATCAGTAATGATTTATGCTCCATTTCTTTTTTTTTTTATAATATAAAGTTCCCCCCCAAACCAACTCAGGAATGCTATTAATACAGAAGTAAATCTTTCTACTAAGGAGCAAGTGAAATAAATACAGCCCTTAACTAATAAAATAACTGTCATCTACAAGCCTGACTACAAACGTTAATGCATCAAAAAAATAAACAAGGTTGTCTGACTCTTAAGAACCCTGTAGATCATCTAGATCCAATCAACTTGCAGGTTTTTTTACTTCTTTGCTGAATTCTCAATGCTTTCTAAAGGAAAGACCAGGTCCCAGTGCAAGACTAGATATTCTTAGAAGAAAAAGAAGACTTACAGTTAAGACAGACCAGTCTCAAAACAGAGCCATGTAATTACATGGTTTTGAATGGCTTGTTAAAATTAAGCTATGGTAATATATTGGACCTGGAGTTCGTCTCTCAAAGCCTTTCTTGCCTGCAACCCCGGGAGGCTTTTCCCCAGTTATCATCAGGGTGACTGCTTACATTTGGTGGGAATGTTCCTCTCCTGCACACCAAGGGCATTTTCACTGTCGGCACTCCGCAGGCGTCCCCGGGGATCCAGGTACTGCAAAGCCAGGCCCAGGTTTTCTCCGTTAGTGCTTAAGGAACGACTTGAAGGGACCAAGGTGAAAAGATTCCCTTGGTGACGCCGTATCCGGGGAAACGTCCTCCGGCCTGGAGAAAAAAAGTATAATTTCTAAATAGCATGCTTACAACTGGAAGGTAATTGCTGGAGGTTGAGCAATGAAGAGAAGGGAGAGAAAAACCATGTTCTGTTCTGTTCCCATGGAGTAGAATCTACTGCCAAACAGACAAGATGCAAAAATGAGAGAATACTTTGTGATGCCCTCAGTGCAGTAGTGTAAGACCTGAACTTGCCTTCCAAAGCAAGCGCCTGGTTTACAGGCTACCACACAAGCTCCAAGGCTTGTTAACAACCACACAGGCAGAATGATTTTCTAGATAACATGCCTGGACTTGCAAATAAAAGCCACAAACAAAGATTATGACAACGTGCACCGCCTCTGATGGAACTTGGAGAAACTCATTTCCACAAAGCCATCTGACTAGCAGAGATGTGATTCTTGAAGTCACTGGTATCTTTAGAAGACCAAGAAGTAAGTCTGCATTGTGAATTAGCAAAGCATAATGAATCCCTGAGGTAGGAACCCACTATATATCACCAAGGGTAATAACTGTGTCCACTGCTCAACCCCAACAGTCACTGATCAGCCTGGATATCCCCAGAAAGGGCAAAGTAAACAAGGAATTACAAACAGCCATCTTGAGTTGCAATGAAAATGTGGCATCATGCATAGCAGCATTAACTCCAGCACCAACTGCAAGGAGCAGGGCACTTCCAGACTCTTCAACTAGGAGTTACGCTTGTCCCTGGAGGTTGCCATTGTCTCACCTTCTTTTTCAAGCCTGGAATAGAAGGTCTGAAAACAACTCACCATCGTTGTAGTCTTTGTGCTGTATGGAGACATTGTAGCGCCGAGGGTAGGTCCCACCTTTCCCTGCTTTGTCATATATCTGATTCTCGCGGTCTGGAAGGAGATGCAAAGACAGAAGTGAGGCTCCTTCAAAAGGTACATGTTCTAGTGACAGAATTTTCCTGTAACAGCAGGTGGTTTTTAGGAATAGGAGAGTAATAAATGACTTCATTGCTTTTCAATCGACATATCCCCAGTTCTTCTATTTATATAATCCCAGAAAATACATAGGGTAGCCAGCAAAGAGCAGAAAACGTCTAGATCAAATAATCTCCATACTAGACACTGACATACCTGAGAACTCCTGTCTATTATCAGGAAAGCTTTGTGCCCTTGACATCCGTGACTTCCGAAAAGAAGGACTATTAAAGAAAGAAGGCAAGAATAAGTTTTGCTATCTACTGGAAAAAACCCTACAAGGACTTTAAATACAAGCTAATACATTTGCACATTGGTAACAATGATTCTTACATCTGTGTCCCTGCACTGATTTCACTCTACGTCTGCAAAGCTGGAGCCAGGCTAAGCCCCAGCTAACCAGACTATTTCCCAATGTTGGGCAGTCACTCTTTCTGTTCAGTTTCCACCATTTATTCAGCAGTTCCCCAGGCTGTGTTTCGGGACCCCCTTTCTTCAGCCATGTGAAATAGAAGGTTAAAACCAAGGCTAAGAGGAAGAGCAGAAGAGGGTGCTGCTTGCAGCATGTTGCTCACAGGGCAGTGGAAAACGGGGACCACTGTCCCAATTGGTTTACCATGAGGGGTAAGAGCTCCTCTCATGAAAACTGTGCACTTTCCTCTCTACCAGCGGCAGATGAGCATAAACACAAACATTGCTTATAACACTGATCCCTTGCATTTCTTCCCAGTAAGTAGGGCTCTTCAGGCAAGCCTAAGTATGGTCCCTTGTTTGGCAGAAAGCCTTTAACATCTCTTAAAAGATTACACAAACTCAACCTGTGCCAAAGCCACGTTATTTGCACCCTTTTTTTGTTAACCATTGTAAATGGAGTAAGCCTGATAACAGCTTTCAGACTCCCAAATGAGATTACTTTCCTACTACACAAAGAATAACAGCTTCCTCAGACAATGCTCACTTCTACAAGGAATAACCAGGAAGGCTTCCCCCCTCAATATTCCACTTAGGGCAGGGCAAGAGGAGGACAGGTAACAAATCAGCAACATCTCCACCCCCAAATAAATGAATGCATGCATATACACAGGTTAACTGTAAGTGCTTCCTTCTAACTCCATAAACTGGAGGAAGTGAATGGCTACAAAACCAAACCTCAAGTGCCTGACATAAAAGCATACGCTACTACCTACAGGAATCAGCTTACAGGAATCTTAAAAATGTGCTGAAGCCCAATATGACAGGTGCTGGGAAGCCAGAGTTGCTATTCAAGTTACTAGGACCTACGGCTGCCCACCAACACCCTCAAGCAACATCAACAGCAAAGAAAGGGAAGAAAAAGATCTTGAGCATCAGACTATGACAAACTCTTCATCAAAAGAAGAGCTCCCCTATTTACCTTTGGAATTAATATTATATCTTGTAGGACATAGAAATCTAGTGTAATGATCTATTTCTGTAACCTTAGAATAGTTTGGTTTTTTTTTTTAAATGAACAAGTAGAGCCTTGTCTAAAGGAGATTTAAATACCCTGCAGCCAGATGTTCTGAGTCTAGGATCCACACTGACAGCATGCTTTAGAACTTTTTATTTATAACACAGAGCTACTGAAGCACCATTTTGTTGGTGTATGATTTTGCCAGAAAATAAAACAGCCTTAAGACGTAGTTAATTCTCTCTAAGAAATATACTGGGATATAGGTAGGAAGTAAGTTCCTATTTCTCTCCAAGAAAATTTATGAGATGGAAAACAGACTTTTGTATAAGTACAACTGGCATTTCAATTTGAGCACGTAAGTTCCTACCAGCTTGTACGTTTGTACCTGTCTGCTGACCTGTCCAAGGACTGACAGCTTCCTGACACCGAGTTTTCAGCACTGCTTAAAGGGTCCAGCATCTGCAACACAAATGAAATCACATGGCAATATTAGTTCAGCCTAATGCCTAGAAGAGGTGTGCAAGAGGATCAGAGTCCACTACGGCTTGTCTGGTGGACGTCCAGATGTAGAGTCTAAAGCTATTTAGAATGTACATTTTCCCTTTATGTCCCACAGAAATTGTTAAGGACAGATCAAATCTGAGCCATTGCTTCAGGTGTCAAAGGACTCTGCTGTGAAAATGAAAGTTTAAGTCAGCCTTGTGCTGCATTTTGATCCCAGCTGACTTCAGGAGTCTCTGCTGGTGCTACTGCATTGCTGCCTCCACCTGCACGTCGCCCTTTGGCCTCACTTCCTACTTTTTTGAATGGAGAGTGCAGTTTCAAATGCAAGAGGGTCACACGAACCTGGCAATAGGAAACCTGAGCGTACATGTGCGACGCACACCGATACTGCTCATTCAGAGGTGGAGGAGAGAATGCCCAACATGCATGGTAACTGCTTCTGTTAGGGCAACAAAGGCTTTGAACTCACACAACTACAAACAAGTTTGAAGCATAGTTTAAATGAACAAAACAGTACCAGTAGGTGCTAATACAACTACAGCTAGTGAATATTCTGAGTGAAAAAGAGGGCCCAGAGAGCAGCAGGCAGTTCCTTTACAGCCGGACTTACTTTTTTTCACCCTAATGTTCATACTTACACACTGTTCGTTGGTTTCTGGGATGAATTCGCCTTCGCTATTTATGCTCGTGTAGGAACCCTGCCGAGCAATGCGCTGTTGCCTCTCTGGAACGTACCCAGGAGGTGGTGAACTTCGGCCTGTGTTCTGGGAACCTGCGCCAGAAAGAAGGACATTTTTGATATTTATGCTTACTGAAATGAGTCTGCACATGCACGTACACAAAATCCAGATATTCACCTCTAACACTAGATCTCTATGATCACAGCAGCTCTGAGTGAGTGTTACAGTCTGGAAAGAAATGCAACCAGGAGGTGCCATGTCAAAGAGCAAATTGTTTGATGAGCACCTGTACTGCCATTTTAGACACTACAAGATTATTGGCAGCTCCTAACAGAGCAGTCACCTATTTGTAACCTCTTCTGCTCAACCTTCTGAGCACCTCCGTCAGCATCTCGGGGAAGGCAGAGGACTCCAGGAATCCTGGGTTTTTGGGCACAAACTTCACTTCACTGCTAATCTCCTCTAAACAGAACACTTGTCAGGGTAACCAATCTTCTTCCCTTCATTATTAGTTTGCCTCAATTAGTATCCTTTACCTTGAGTGGCAGCGCTATCCCTGCTACTCATCATCAGCTGAGCTAACTATACACTGAGCATATTCAATATCCCATGACAGCATGCTTACCTTTGTAAATAACCCCAAAATTTGTGGTTTACTGTGTGAAAAATGAAACTGTATGACTAGTATGGGTGAAAACACATGGAAGTCAATTCTGCAATTTCTGTTAATTACAGGCAATAGTTAGATGGACAGAGAGTATGCTTAGGGGCCAAAGGATGAGAAAAACATTTTACTCATCTGTTAATGGTGCTACCTAAAGCGTTTCTGATGTGCTATGTAGGATTTATTTTTCCTTGCAGATCTCAAAGATGATGACAGATGATACTTTAGAAACAGGAAGATACAAAATCCCTTTCTGCAGTGACCTATCCACCCGCAGCTCCCACCAAGTCAAACTGTGAGCTCCAAGCAATGCTGTGGTCCAGCCAATCTGCTCAAGGTCACTCATGAAGTCAGAGACAGCGTTTTAGATCAGCTCTCAAGCTGTGATCTTTACGATGCTGTCTTTAATTAACTGTGTGTACTCAGGTGCTATGAAAGATGGGTAAAGATCAGCAAATATTCTCCCAAGGAAAATAATTTCTACAGAAGTTATTGTAATAAAGAGAGTGAAGGCAAACATCGGCAGAAGCTAACCGAAAATCAGTGCACACACTTTTCAGAGGACTGCAGAAGGAAAAAAAAACCCAACGCTGGCATAGCTTGGAGTGCATGGAGGGGTGAACTACATGTAAAAAAAAAAAAAAATAAATCTATTGCTTAGAGCTACCACCTCATTTTCCAAGTAGCTTTGTGGGGCTCATGTGACATTACAAGCCAAGTGGCGTGGAGATAAACAAGAGAGCGTGCTTTGGGGCTGCACTGAGTCACCGGAGCACACTTTCACTCTT